AGGCTCCGTTGGTCATACATGTGGTGAGACAATTGCGAATTGACTCGGGATGACTAAAAGCAATGGTGAAATTCCTTTAAGTTTCAGACAGACAGTCAAGAAAGGAGCGGTGATGTTGAGTTCAGGTAACTCTTATATGTGACACCAATATGTGAGTTGTTCACTGTCACGCAGGTCAGTGATCAGTGTGTGATGGCGCTGACGGATACTCTGAAAGTTGGGAGCACAAACTAGAGTAACAAGGAACTTAATTTTGCTCGAGTGTTAACTGTGGTCAAGAAAAGGAAGGACTATAAGTTGCAGATGGAGTCACATGGAGTCTTGGAGTAGCAGCGGTGCTCATGGGATAAGCTCAAGTCCAATATACATGGAAGTTTGATGCATTGACGAATTCAATGTGGTGGAGAATATTCGCCAAGGTGGAGTTTGTTAGAGTTGTGTCGAATATTGTGTATAAGATAGGTTACGGTTGGACTCTGAGTTGTATTGTGTGTAGATAAGATATGGAGTCGTGTTCTTGTAGGACACTTGTATTCTAGGCCTCTCATATATAGCGGGGCTAGACACATGATGTAACCTATGCCAACATAATAGCACCGGAACGCAGGAAAAGTCGGCGGCATGTGCCGGTGTCCAGGGCGATTGGGTGCGGTATTGTAGCGATGTCATGGGAAGGAGCGCCCATAGTCAGGCCCTGGGGATGTAGCCATATCGGTGAACCTCGTTAACAAATCTCAGTGTCATGCTCGTGTGATTGTTTTGTCCTCGAATGATCGACGGTGTGCCTCGGATTTATTCCAACAAAATCCACCGTCACCGTTGCTTTGAGATTCATGCTATTTTTTTAGAATTGGTAGATTTTGTCTTGTTCCATAGTGTTACACCGGGTTTTTTCCCTCTTATTTCAACATGTATCGAAATGTTTCATTGTGTATTGTTGTGTACTAGTAAACCCAATCAGAAAGAAATGCACTCTTATTTGTTGGTATACATTAAAACTTCACGAGACACTTTGGGACAAGGAAAAACACAACAAAACATAGTATATAACACTTTGAAGTAAGACAATTTTTTATATAAAAGTAAGAAATGTAGCACAAGTCTTAAAGCAACCATGGTCGATAAATCCACGGTCAAGATGTCTCTTGCAGGGCAGAAAAACCACACTCCTAGTAGCATTTTATTTTTTTGAGAATCACTCCTAGTAGCATTGACGATTCAAAGATAAAACCAGCCTAGCGACAATTTCCCGGGACCAAACAATCGTGTCCCGCACTCTCGTCACGCCTCCCAGCGTTTGCTTTCAGGTGCATTTTTTCCATACGCGTGCCACGGAATTCCCAGCATGCAGCTCGGCCTGTCGCCACTGTCGTCTTCTTCCTGAATATTCAGTGGTAGGGTTAGTACGTTCCAACGAGCTTCCAAGTGCAGCAACATTCCAGTCCAGTCCAGTCCCCTGCTCACAAGTTCGGTAACGGTTGCGACTTGCGTGCCCAATGGCGTGGGGAGGAGGGCGCTACGAGACGAACAAGCCTTCAATTCGGCGGGCCGCCTCTGATGGCGATCCGTCTCTCTGACCGGTCGCCAGTGACCTCTGTGTCCCCTTCTTCCCGCAATCCCTGGCCTCGCACCAACCCAAGGCCTCGCAGATAAGCATGACACCACGGCAGCGCACATCATCCATGGTGGACCTCGACTGCTGCTGAATCAGCTGGCCGGTAGCCGGAGCCTGGAGGTAGCGCCGTTCGTCCCCCTGTCGCTCTTCTTTGGCTCCTTGTAGCTTTTCTGTGGTTCGATGTACTTCCGGCGGACATGTTTCCTTCTCTGCATGTTCTGCGCATGATCTTTTGATCGTGTGTAGGTGGTCCTCGGAGTTTGCCATGGCCGCGACGGCGAGGCTCCGGCGAGCTCGACCTCGCGGCGTGCTCGGGCTCGTGTCGGCGCTGCTCGTCTGCGGCGCTGCGGCGTACGCGCCGGAGGACAACTACCTCGTCAGCTGCGGCTCCTCGCTGGACACGCCCGTGGGCCGGAGGCTCTTCCTCGCCGACGACGGCGGCTCCGGCTCCGGCGCGGTCACCCTGACGTCCCCTCGCAGCGCCGCGGTGAAGGCCTCGCCGGACCTGGTGTCCGGCTTCCGCGACGCCGCGCTGTACCAGAACGCCAGGGTCTTCTCCGCGCCTTCATCATACTCGTTCGCCATCAGGCGCCGCGGCCGGCACTTCCTCCGCCTCCACTTCTTCCCCTTCGTGTACCGGAGCTACGACCTCGCCGCCGCGGCCAGGGCGTTCAAGGTGTCCACGCAGGACGCCGTGCTGCTCGAGGACGGCGTCCCGGCGCCCGAGCCCGGCAACGCGTCGACGTCATCGTCGCCCCAGCCGGCGCGCGTGGAGTTCCTCCTGGACGTCGCGCGCGACACGCTCGTGGTCTCGTTCGTGCCGCTCGTCGACGGGGGCATCGCCTTCGTCAACGCCGTCGAGGTCGTCTCCGCGCCCGACGGCCTCGTCGCCGACGCCGCCGAGTCGTCGACGGGCCGCCCAGAGCCCATCCCCGCCGCGCTGCCGCTGCAGACGGCCTACCGCCTCAACGTGGGCGGCCCGGCCGTCGCGCCCGACGACGACGCGCTCTGGCGAGAGTGGACCACCGACCTGCGATTCCTCTCCCATTCCGTGGCCGACGCGGTGACTCGGGAGGTCCGCTACAACGGGACGCCGAACCGCCTACCCGGGCAAGCGACGGCGACCGACGCGCCGGACGTCGTCTACGCCACGGCGAGGGAGCTCGTGATCAACAGCAGCTCATTCGACGGGCAGAAACAGATGGCGTGGCAGTTCGACGTCGACGCCAGCTCCAGCTACTTCATCAGGTTCCACTTCTGCGACATCGTCGGCAAGGCTCCCCACCAGCTCCACATCAACGCCTACGTCGACGACGCCAGTCACGCCACCGTGCTGACGGACCTTGACCTCGCCGCCGTCGGCGATGGTGCGCTGGCGTTCCCGTACTACAAGGACTTCGTGTTGCCTGCTAGCGAAGCCTCCGGGAAACTCGCCGTCCATGTTGGCCCTCTGGCAAATAAGATCGTGATGCCCGCTGCCATCCTCAATGGGATTGAGATCATGAAGATGCACCTGAGCGCCGGCTCTGTCGTCGTCGTCGAGCCGGCGGCGGGGGCAGCCAAGTCGCGTTTCGCCGTCCTTCTTGGCTCCGTGTGCGGACCGCTCGCTTTCGTGTCCATCGCCGTTGCTCTCGCCATTGTCCTCAGGAAGAAGAGGAAGAAGGAGGGGGAGGAAGAGGAGGAAAGTGATAAGAAGCAGCCGACGCCGACGCAGAGCCAGTCGTCCACGCCATGGATGCCACTCCTCGGCCGCCTCAGCGTTCGCGGCGCCATTGCGTCAGGGTCGTCAAGCTTCACTACTGCCGGTAACACTCCGGGAACCAGCCCCAGGGCTGCCGCCGCGGTGATGCCGAGCTACCGTTTCCCGCTCGCCGTGTTGCAAGACGCGACGCGCAACTTCGACGACAGCCTGATCATCGGAGAGGGAGGGTTCGGCAAGGTGTACGGCGCCGTGCTCCAGGACGGCACTAAGGTCGCCGTGAAGCGCGCGAGCCCGGAGTCGCGGCAGGGCGCGCGGGAGTTCCGCACGGAGATCGAGCTGCTGTCCGGGCTGCGCCACCGCCACCTTGTGTCGCTCGTCGGCTACTGCGACGAGCGGGAGGAGATGATCCTGCTGTACGAGTACATGGAGCACGGCTCGCTGCGGAGCCGGCTGTACGGCCGCGGCGGCGCGGCGCCGCTGAGCTGGGCGCAGCGGCTGGAGGCGTGCGCCGGCGCGGCGAGGGGCCTCCTTTACCTGCACACGGCCGTGGACAAGCCGGTGATCCACCGCGACGTCAAGTCGTCCAACATCCTGCTGGACGGCGACCTCACGGGCAAGGTGGCCGACTTCGGGCTGTCCAAGGCCGGGCCGGTGCTGGACGAGACGCACGTCAGCACGGCGGTGAAGGGCAGCTTCGGGTACGTCGACCCGGAGTACTGCCGGACGAGGCAGCTGACGGCCAAGTCCGACGTGTACTCGCTGGGCGTCGTGCTGCTGGAGGCCGTCTGCGCGCGGCCCGTCGTCGACCCGAGGCTGCCGAAGCCCATGTCGAACCTGGTGGAGTGGGGGCTGCACTGGCAGGGCAGGGGCGAGCTGGAGAAGATCGTGGATCGGCGCATCGCCGCCGCGGCGAGGCCGGCGGCGCTGAGGAAGTACGGCGAGACGGTGGCCAGGTGCCTGGCGGAGCGCGGCGCCGACCGGCCGGCCATGGAGGACGTGGTGTGGAACCTGCAGTTCGTGATGCGGCTGCAGGAGGGTGACGGCCTGGACTTCTCCGACGTGAGCAGCCTCAACATGGTGACAGAGCTCACGCCGCCACCTCGCCGTCAGAGAAGCGCAGTTGATAGCGACGGCCTGGCCCTCTCCGATGTGAGCAGCCTCAACATGGTTACAGAGCTCACGCCGCCACAAACCGGCAGCGTGGAGGGAGACGGCGTAGCCGACGACGATTTCACCGATGCATCCATGAGAGGGACCTTCTGGCAGATGGTCAATGTCCGCAGCAGATGAACCCATATGGCCTTATATGAGAAGATGATGGTGTTTTTTGTACGTCCCTGAGGAGAGTGGATGATGGAAAAGATTGTTTCCCCTACATCTTTCAAAGGACAAATACTACACGCATTTTCGACCATGTAGCACGATAAAGATGAGAAATTAAGCACAAAAAGATTATTTGAAACTGCAAAATGATTCCATGTGCACATAGTACAACAGATATTATGGTCTGACTGGAGTATCAATACCGAAATAGAGTACACAATAAAATCAAACTCGTACAGGCAAGTCTTTGTTCAACATGTTTAGAGAGTTTCGTAGCAGTAGGAAGAATTTGATCCATCTCTCGACCCTCACCAGGTGAACTTCAACTGGGTGAACACCGGAAGGATTTCGATCCATCTCTCAACCACCACCGGGTGATGCACTTCCACTGGGTGCACGGTGGTTGCCATTGTCTTCGCCGTCCCTGGGGCTCGGGCTACGACCATTTGCAGCTGGGCTCATGTTATTAGGGCTGTCAGCCTTCATTGGGCTCCTGCTGTTTTCCCTTGGTGCAGGGCTCCTGCTGCCAGGAGGGGTGGGGCTCCGGGCCCTCCCCTTGGCAGGTGAAGCGCTCCTCCTAGGGCTGCGGCTGTCACGGGGGCTCCTCATAGGGCTGCGACTGCCACGGGGGCTCTTCATAGGGCTGCGACTGTCGCGGGGGCTCCTCCTGGGGCTGCGACTGTCACGGGGGCTCCTCCTTGGGCTGCGACTGTCACGGGGGCTCCTCCTTGGGCTGCGACTGTCACGGGGGCTCCTTGATCGCCTTTCATCCCTCCTTGGGGAAACAGAGCGGCTAAGTAAAGCAAGAGACATACAGTCAGTGTTTCATATACAAAACATGATAGGAAAAAAAAAGAATTAAAGCACAACACGAGTATGTTTAAAAGCAATATCAAGAAATCAACCAATTTTTTACATTGGCATATACTCCCTCCGCCCCGAAACAAGTGTCTCAACTTTGTACTAACTCTAGTACAAAGTTGTACTAAGCTTGAGACACTTATTTTGGGATGGAGGGAGTGTTCATTAGTAGCAAACACGAGTATTTAATTAAAAATTACCACATTAGCGGGTTAGTAAAAATGTATGATGAAGTAAACCTATGCCCACAGAATAGCAGCAGATGGAACTAAACCCATGCATAACAGGAAAACAATATGCAAAAAATGAAATACCATGATAATTGGACAACAAAGGTCTTAAGAGCTTTAGTTTTGCAAGAAAAAAGAATACCAGTACTATGTTCAGAATTCAGACTCCACATACTACCAAAACAACGGAATCATGCCACAGAATAAGCAGAAACGGTGCCCAAATTTTCAAAGCAACATATACCTGTAGCTCCTACTGCGGCTCCTGCTGTAGCTCCTATCACGCACCCTTCCACGGCGAGGAGATGGAGATCTGGAGTAACTCTTTCCACGCCTGTTTTCATCAACACAACTTAAGTCAGATATGCTCTACTTATAAAACAGAAAAGACAAACTCGCAGGGCATACTTGAGGTTCTTAGGGCTGTTCTGGCAATCCCTTTCTATGTGGCCACTATCTCCACAACGATAGCACCTATTTTTCCAGTCGCCAGCTTTGCAGTCACGAGCCCAATGCCCATCAATCCCACAGTTAAAGCAACGGCCAGAACCAGGAGGAGGTCCCCGACCCATATATTCACGGTCACCGCCACGGCCACGGTCACGGTCACCTCCTCCTCCTTGGCCACGCGGAACCTATAATGAAGATCATAATAAGTAAGTGCAAATAACAAAAGCATAAATCAACATAGAAAAAATTATAGTGAGCAATATTTACCCCTTTAGCAAACTCAACAATCATGCGGCTTCCATCAAAGTCACGACCATCAAGATTGTACCTTGCTTCATCAGCATCCCTGGGATCACTAAACTCCTGCAATAAGATTTATACAAGAGAAGGAGGGGCATCAATGTGAACAGTACAAACATGGATTAAGAAGTCAAAACAAGGTGAACAAGAGCGGTTACTTACAACAAATGCAAACTCATGCTTCATATCCACATGTCGCACTCTGTGGAAATGGTTTCCGGAAACAGTAACACCATCAAGACGCAAGTAGAGAAATGTATCACCACGCAGAATGAACTAAACACCAGGCATGATTGTGATTTCCATTAAAACAGGCAATTTATTTTTGAAAACAATCGCCAAAGTCTGCTAGAAACTTTGCGAGAATAGCCACCAATTCCACCAAGGGCACCCTCCCACCAATCCACCATGGACACCGAGGTTGGGTAAGCCCCCAAAACCTTCAACAAGATCATCCAAGTTAAAAAACATGAAGGGCTTGTGGATATATGTGATGGTACAAGAAACAATGGGGGGAGAGAGAACAATGTTGAGAGACCACAGGGTGCTGGCTTAGATATGCCGTATGGAATGCCATTGTCTCAGAGTAACCATGTGGATGACTAACGCCATTGGGTGCAAGAAATTGAACAGGTGTGTCTCAATTTCTGCTCTACATGTCTTCAGACAAGAGAGCAAAGCACAGACCTATTTGACTAAAAGCTAACTCACACATAATTTGCATGGGTGACATGACATGAAACCGGTCAAAATAAATCCGCTGTACAAGAAGGAACTAGTATATTTGTTCCATGAACTTGTCACTCAGAAGGCAAAAAGCAGCTCTGGCTGAGAGGAATTCTGCCCGCTCACCTCCCATATCTGCCGAAGAGGTCTTCAAGGTCCCTTGTGCGGGTGCGCGAGGGAAGACGACCCACGTACAGCCTTGTGTTGCCGCCATAACGATCACGCTCATCGTAGCGAGGCATTCTGCACCGAAACAAGCAGCAAAATGTCACGACCTACAACCACTGACATCATACAAGTAAACAGCCAAGCAGAGCAAACCCCTCCCCATACAAAGCAGCCAATCCAGCACAAATTCAGTTAGAGCAGCATACGGACATCTCGTGACGCAATCTATTACGTAGTATAGCCTAGCTGCGACCATACTGTTCCCCCCTTGCGAATCATCAGCCCCAAAACCGCAACGAATCTAGAAAACCACCGACACCTCTTCAGAATATCTAATCCTAATTCGGATACGGCACGCCATGGATGCGGATCTGTCCGTACAAGCAAGCGAATCACGGGCCGACGGGATTCCCGCGGGCGAATCGAGCGGGAGCCCGGACCCAAGCGCCGGGCACCAGCGCGGCGGGCCGACGAGGCGAGGAATCGAGCGGAAGGACAGACGGGGGCACGAGATCGGATCGGGGGTCGGGGGTCTCACCTGCGAGAGCGAAGCGGAGGAAACCCTAGCCGCGGGAGGGGACAAGACTAGAGGAAGCTGCTCGGATGTGACGGCGGCGAACTTATACTCACGCCCGATTTGGTTTGGACGGCAGGTGTTGGATCGGGGGAGGCATCGACGGCTGACAGGGGGAGGAGCGGGCGCTGCTGGCAGTGCTCAAATCGGCAGCCGGAAAGAAAAGGAAAAAAAAGGACGTGAGGCCTGTGATGGAAGGCGCCTAACAATGGCCCATCATGTTTAGACCCCCGGTAGGGCTCTCATGCAGGCCCAGTTACCCCTAAATGAACTAGTTAGGCCCAAATCTTTTATCTCAAAATAAATTAGTCCCAAATCCGTGTTTGTCACTTTGTTGTGATACTACCAGCACGGTGATATTCAGCTTGCCAATATCCATGGTCTTGCTTCTTATTTTTATTCTTTGTGTACATTTGCCCTTTCTTTTCTGTGTATAGTTCATCTACGGTCATAAAACTTGTGTGGAGATCGCGCTTTAATCAATGAACTAAAGAAAGTGCAAATTACGGAATTTAACATTGTTCCGCCGCACCGTCTACATTTACTTGCTCGTTTTCCATACGCATTCTGCTAGCGTGGCATACTCTGCCCAACTCTGATCGTTCGGCTCAACATGAAGACGAATTCGGATTGAGAGGGGGGGGGCTGAAAAATCATGTGAGATTCGTTCCTCGTCTCATCCCACATTCTGGCTCCATTGTCCCTTCCTCAACTATAGCATCATACAATGACTCCCACAAGGCGACCAGAGAGATGGGTTAGATTGCCACATAGTAGTGACGGTGCCCGGACTACAAACCTCTGATGTCAAACAAAAGTTATCTCTAAATCTTGTATTATTTCTTGAATTTTACACATGGAATTTAATTTCTATGTAAAGCCTTTAGCTCAAAAGTTGTGTAGTCACTCGACTACACAGCCACGATATTGGCTTCACCACTACCACAGAGGTGTTGCAAATGAGCAAACAACAGCATGCATGCTTAGGTAGGTGGTGTCATCAACTTCGCGATTCAGGCGTGGCGCACCAAACCACTTCCACGAGGCATGATTATGATGGGGAACGTAGTATTTCAAAAAAAATTCTACGATCATGCAAGATCTATTTAGGAGAAGCATAGCAATGAGCAGGGAGAGTGTGTCCACGTATCCTCGTAGACCGAAAGCGGAAACGTTTAGTAACGCGATTGATGTAGTCGAACGTCTTCGCGATCCAACCGATCTAAGCACCGAACGTACGGCAACTCCGTGTTCAGCACACGTTCAGCTCGATGATGTCCCTCGATTTCTTGATCTAGTTGAGGACGGGGGAGAGTTCCGTCAGCACGATGGCGTGGCGACGGTGATGATGAAGTTACCGGCGTAGGGCTTTGCCTAAGCACTACAACGATATGACCGAGGTGTGTAACTGTGGAGGGGGGGCACCGCACACGGCTAAGAGAAGACTTGGTGTTCTAGGGTACCCCCTGCCCCGTATATAAAGGAGGGGAGGGGGAGGCCGGCCGGCCCCTGTACGGCGCGCCAAGAGAGGGGAGTCCTACTAGGACTCCAAGTCCTAGTAGGATTCCACCTGGAAAAGTCCAATTCGGACCCAAAGGGGGGGGGCGGCCCCTTGTGGCCCTTCTCTCTCCCACTAAGGCCCATGAAGTCCCATTAGTTCCCCCGGGGGGTTCTGATAACCCTCCGGCACTCCGATAATTATCCGATACCTCTCGGAACTCATCCGGTGTCCGAGTAACATCGTCCAATATATCAATCTTTATGTCTCGACCATCTCGAGACTCCTCGTCATGTCCGTGATCTCATACGGAACTCCGAACAAACTTCGGTCATCAAATCACATAACTCATAATACAAATCATCATCAAACGTTAAGCATGCGGACTCTATGGGTTCGAGAACTATGTAGACATGACCGAGACACATCCCCGGTCAATAACCAATAGCGGAACCTGGATGCTCATATTGGATCCTACATATTCTACGAAGATCTTTATCGGTCAAACTACACAACAACATATGTTATTCCCTTTGTCATTGGTATGTTACTTGCCCGAGATTCGATCATCGGTATCATCATACCTAGTTCAATCTCGTTACTGGCAAGTCTCTTTACTCATTCCGTAATGCATCATACCGTGACTAACTCATTAGACGTATTGCTTGCAAGGCTCATAGTGATGTGAATTACTGAGAGGGCCCAAAGATACCTCTCTGATACACGAAGTGACAAATCCTAATCTCGGTCTATGCCAACTCAACAAACACCATCAAAGACACCTGTAGAGCATCTTTATAATCACCCAGTTACGTTGTGATGTTTGATAGTACACAAGGTGTTCCTCCGGTATTCGGGAGTTGCATAATCTCATAGTCAGAGGAACATGTATAAGTCATGAAGAAAGCAATAGCAATAAAACTAAACGATCATTATGCTAAGCTAACGTATGGGTCTTGTCCATCAAATCATTCTCCTAATGATGTGATCTCGTTCATCAAATGACAACACATGTCTATGGTCAGGAAACTTAACCATCTTTGGTTAACGAGCTAGTCAAGTAGAGGCATACTAGGGACACTTTGTTTTGTCTATGTATTCACACATGTACTAAGTTTCCGGTTAATACAATTCTAGCATGAATAATAAACATTTATCATGATATAAGGAAATATAAATAACAACTTTATTATTGCCTCTAGTGCATATTTCCTTCAGTCTCCCACTTGCACTAGAGTCAATAATCTAGTTCACATCGTCATGTGATTTAACACCAATAGTTCACATCTTTATGTGATTAGTTCACATCTTCATGTGACTAACACACAATGGGTTTACTAGAGTCAATAATCTAGTTCACATCGCTATGTGATTAACACCCAAAGAGTACTAAGGTGTGATCATGTTTTGCTTGTGAGAGAAGTTTAGTCAACGGGTCTGCCACATTTAGAGCCGTATGCATTTTGCAAATTTTATATGTCTACAATGCTCTGCACGGAGCTACTCTAGCTAATTGCTCCCACTTTCAATATGTATCCAGACTGAGACTTAGAGTCATCTGGATAGTGTCAAAGCTTGCATCGACGTAACCCTTTCTGACAAACTTTTTGTCGCCTCCATAACCAAGAAACATGTCCTTATTCCACTAAGGATAATTCTGACCGATGTCCAGTGATCCACTCCTGGATCACTATTGTACCCTCTTGCCAAACTCATGGTGAGGTACACAATAGGTCTGGTACACAACATAACATGTTTTATAGAACCTATGACTAAGGCATAGGGAATGACTTTCATTCTCTCTCTATCTTCTGCCGTGGTCAGGTTTTGAGTCTTACTCAACTTCACACCTTACAACTCAGGCAAGAACTCCTTCTTTGACCAATCCATTTTGAACTCCTTCAAAATCTTATCAAGGTATGTCCTCATCGAAGTCTTATCAAGCGTCTTGATCTATCTTTATAGATCTTGATGCCCAATATGTAAGTAGCTTTATTGATGTCTTTCTTCGAAAAACTCCTTTCAAACATCCTTTATGCTTTCCAGAAAATTCTACATCATTCCCGATCAACAATATGTCATTCACATATACTTATTAGAAAGGTTGTAGTGCTCCCACTCACTTTCTTGTAAATATAGGCTTCACTGCAAGTCTGTATAAAACTATATGCTTTGATCAACTCATCAAAGCGTATATTCCAGCTCCGAGATGTTTTCACCAGTCCATAGATGGATCGCTGGAGCTTGCACACTTTGTTAGCACCTTTAGGATTGACAAAACCTTTTTGTTGCAACATATACAACTTCTTCATTAAGAAATCCACTAAGGAATGCAGTTTTGACATCCATTTGCCAGATTTCATAAAATGTGGCAATTGCTAACATGATTCGGACAGACTTAAGCATTGCTACGAGTGAGAAAATCTCATCGTAGTCAACACCTTGAAATTGTCGAAAACCTTTTGCGACAATTCGAGCTTTGTAGATAGTAACACTACTATCAACATCTGTCTTCCTCTTGAAGATCCATTTATTCTCAATGGCTTGCTGATCATCGGGAAAGTCAACCAAAGTCCACACTTTGTTCTTCATACATGGATCCCATCTCAGATTTCATGGCCTCAGGCCATTTTGTGGAATCTGGGCTCATCATCGCTTCCTCATAGTTCACAGGTTCGTCATGGTATAGTAACATGACTTCCAGAACAGGATTACCGTACCACTCTAGCGCGGAACGTACTCTGGTTGACCTACGAGGTTCGGTAGTAACTTGATCTGAAGTTTCATGATCATCATTAACTTCCTCACTAATTGGTGTAGGCATCACTGGAACTGATTTCTGTGATGAACTACTCTCCAACTCGAGAGAAGGTACAACTACCTCATCAAGTTCTACTTTCCTCCCACTCACTTCTTTCGAGAGAAACTCCTTCTCTAGAAAGGATCCATTCTTAGCAACAAAGATCTTGCCTTCGGATCTATGATAGAAGGTGTACCCAATAGTTTCTTTTGGGTATCCTATGAAGACGCACTTCTCTGATTTGGGTTCGAGCTTATCAGGCTGAAACTTTTTCATATAAGCATCGCAACCTCAAATTTTAGGAAACGGCAGTTTAGGTTTCTTGCTAAACCACAGTTCACATGGTGTCGTCTCAACGGATTTAGATGGTGCCCTAGTTAATGTGAATGCAACTGTCTTTAATGCATAACCCCAAAATGATAGTGGTAAATCGTTAAGAGTCATCATAGATCGCACCATATTCAATAAAGTACGGTTACGATATTCGGA